ATTCCACTGTCTTATGTCAGAAAATTCATAATAAGTCACAGAATTCGTCGAAGTTTACTCATTTATACTCAGAGGAATCTCCAAGATATTATGGCTAGAAATTTTTACACCAACTACTGCTATCAAGTGTACCGTGAAAATGTATACTAACGTGTTTTCGCAAGATTAACCATGTAAATACGTTCGGATTGAAGAAAAAATGAGTCAAATGTTGACATTTAAATAAGAGATTCAAGAATCTAACTGCTTATAAAGTCATCCAATTCAGTACAAGCTGCCACACTAGGAAAGACAATGCGGTAGAACTCGATGACGATTATGACTTCAGGGAACTTCTCAGCCAAAACATGAGCCTGGGCATGTGTCATGCCTGAATACGATTTTCATCTGTAGGTAAAGCAGACTAATAAACATGACCCCTATGGTAATGTAGCATATCAGCATTGACTTGACTTTAATTTTGCTTAAAAGTAATGTAGAGATTCGTAGGTTAACCTAAGCAGGCGAAAAAGGTGGCTTCCTTTTGGCCTACCGTCACTTGGTCTAACTAGTGGAGTGCATAATGCTACTATCACTTAGACATCCCCCTCAGTTCAAATTGTAGTCGAGTAACTTACTAGAAAGTAATTATTCAAGAATTGCTAATAGTTTTAGAGCATACAGTGAATATGAACTTTCAACTGGTTTATGGCAGACATCTTCAGAACTGGGACACATTTAAATAAATAAAATTTACCATCCAGTCTTTTTGTGCTATTTACACAAATTTATGTACTTCAATGTGCATGAACGCCTGGGTTTGCATGCACGAACATTAGAAACCACAGTGAAGGGTCAAAATAATCCGAGCAGAGCAGAGCATCTTTCATAAGGTTAGGACATGAAATTAATGTCAATTGAACATGAACGTAGCATACGATTTCTATTATAGCAATTTTTATTTATATACGATGGAGCCTATGCATGGTTAAATTCATAAACATGCCATAAACTAGAAAAAAAGCGAATAATATTTTATACTCATAAAGTTTTGCCCGTTTGCCTGCCGCTATATGTAATGTGACTTCAAAAAGACTTACCCAAAGAAATAGATCTTTTGCAGGGGTCGATCATAACCCATACGCCGGGCAACCTTGCTTAGCACGTGCTCGGCGTATCGGTAGGTGATCTCGCTAGGCTTTCCCAAGATGGCCGTATAGGTAAGCGGGTTACCAGTGATCTTTTCATAGAGAGATTCAAGACAGACAAGAAAGGCACCGTGCCCAAATCGCGGCATTGGTGCCTCCGCCATGAAGATAAGATCCAGATTGCAAGCTAGAATTGGCAAGTGTGGATCAGGGAAGTTGGCTGGCGAATGATCTGGCTGACCCTTGGTGATAAGTAGATCCACAATCAGTTGCAAGTAGGACTCCCAACGGACAGGCTCACCGATCAGAATGATGGCTGAATGGATATGAGAGAGGAAGCATCAGATAAAGCAATATATCTATACACACCCATATATGTATATAGGAAGTGGTGAGAACGGAGATCCCATGGCTAGTCAATATAGAGGCTCAGAGTAATGGCCGTCGAACATAAAATAGGTGTTGGGTGAATAGATTCAAAGGTCGGTTCCACCAGAAGACGACGGCGAATTCCTCTTGACCAGCTGTCTATTGGCTTTACTGGAAGATGCATGCTGACGCTGTTTCCGAGGCAATCTCCTTCAATTCCGGTGAACACGTGCTGAGCTTTCGTCCGTCATATGACGGACATCATCAGAGCGAGGTAACGTCGTCACAACAAAATTCAGGCTTGCGAGTCAAGAAAACTCACTGGCAAATCAATAAAAAGTGGTATATATACTCTACATCTGGCTTATTTGATCGAGTATAAGGTGATTTGGTTAGTTAAGGT